ATTGGCAAAGAGCAGGGCCAGGTCTGCCAGCTTGGTTGGTATTCATCTGAAAAGAATGTGTCAATAAATGCATCATGATGGCTTTTGTATAGTTACAATACTTAGAAAAGCAAGCAGGAGTCATCCACTTGACTCTACCCAATGTAGTCCTCCCAGTGTAGTCCCTCTGTCCTGCAACACTACAGAATTAGCCCAATTTCAAAAGGACAACCTTCCTTCAATATAGAGCAGGATCTGTAATTTTCACAAGCCACTATACCCTAAAGAGCAAGGTCTTTGCTTTAGTTTTATACCTGATACTTTTTACCTGAAGCTAAACATTCTCACATCCTTTGAGTTCCATCTCCTAGGCCCAGTCATTTCAGTGTCAGTTTAGTGTGTTCACCACTGTAATGTCAAGTAGATAAGTTAGGTTATTTCTGCAAAACAGAGACACTAACTTACCCCATATGCTGTCATGAAGATCAAAGAGGTGTAAGAAGCATATTTGTATAGCATACTATTAAACATGGGCCCTATAGTCACATTGTTTAGGTTTGATTTCCAACTCCATTATCATCTTCATACCCATAAGAAAAATTATTTAAATCCTCTAAACTTCATTCCCTATCTGTAGAGAAAATGTTACTGCTACCAGATTCCTTTGAGAGAGTACTTTGAAAGAATTGAGTCTAATGGCAGTTACATGGAAAGAGGCTAATAAGTATTATTGCTTAAAAGTACTATGTAAAAAAAAAAAAGTACTATGTAAAGATAGCAGCTTAATATTTTTTCATCCTGACCACAATCTACATGGAAAAATAGAGTTCTTAATTTACATAGGAATAAAATATACCAAGATATTAAGTGACATATATAAAGTCATAGTTAAGCATAAAATTTGTTTTTTTGCCTTCCTGAGATTTAGATATACTTATTTTAATAATATTTAAGGATGCCATCTGTACTTAACAGTTTTAAACACTTAAAATTTGCTAGGTATTATGCTAAGTATTTTTTGTGTATTATCTGGTTCAATTCTCGGAATAGCTCTGAAGATACACTCTATGTTTCGCCACTTTACCTATGAGACTGAATTTCTAGAATGTTATGAACCTAAAAGCCATCTTACACAGGGACCAGCATTCTTGATTAACCATGATGCTGTCCTGCCTCTCACAGTGCAATTCTACCTGTATCTTAGTATTTGTCAATCAACTGTTCTCCATTTATTCTCACAATCAAGTAAGTACTCTTTAATATTTTATCCAGTGCTATCTTACATGCTGCACAGTGGGGAAGTTTTATGGAGGGAATTAATATTTAAAGTTTCTCCTATGTGCCAAGTTCCATACAAGCTGCACATGTATCTCATCTAGTCCTGACCATATTACATGAGTTAGATTCTAGTACTATTCTCACACTAAAAAGTAAGTACCAGAAGTAACTAAGGTACTCAGAGTCAAATAGAAAATAACCATCTGGCTGCTGTGGTTGTTAAGAGCTTTTCGCTATGCTCTTAAGGTTGTGATCCAGGTATGGATATTATTATATACAGGTGAACATTAATAGTGTATTATATAGCCACAAAATGCCTTGTGAATGCTTAAGGAGAAGATGTTGTTGAACTTTCAAGCATGGGATAATCATAGAAGGATGAAGGATCAGAGAAGACATTACAGAGGAGGGAAAATTGTGAAGAAACCTTTGGGATATCTATAGAAAGAGGCAAGAACAGTAAGTGTCAACAGAGAGTGTGAAGGCTGTCTGGTGTCCAAATGAATGTGGGTGTTAGTCCAGCTTCTTGGTGGCAGTGGCTATGTCTGTCTTAAATCAAAATGGCATTTGCCATCACACAGATACAAAGTCAGTGATCAATAAATAATTAAGGCGGGGATAGTCCTCTTTATTTTGAAGCACCTGATTAGATCCTATAGAAAATATAGTACTTTTATGACATGCAATTATATACTTTTGACTAAGATTCATTTATCAAGAATTTTGTAATATAGATAGAATCTTACTAAATGAGATCTGAGCATTGACAAGGAAAGAGTGATTGGCTGACCACCAAATGTTCACAAGGAGATACCTCTACGGTGTCTCTGGAATATCAGCCCAGCACATTTGGACATTCAATCTTGCCATTGTCCCAGTAATTCTGGTGTGAAAATGTTGACTGGGATAAGTAGGAAAATGAATAAACCAATAGGAGAAGAATATGATTCAAAAAACTATCACCTCCATGATCATGAAAGTTCACTGAGCCTTTTCCTTAAGAAAATATAGTCTAAGCACTTTACATAAACTCTCTCATTTCATCTTCATGGTAGCCTTATAAAATGGTATTATTCTTATTTCTTCCATATAGATTAGGAAACTGAAGATATTTTGGGCAACTTTCTTAAAATATTATTTCTCTGAACTCTGGAATCTTTACTTTACATGCTGAAGCTCTTAATTTTTATGCTACAATGTTGTAAATTATCTATTATGAAGTAGCTAGGCATTCAGAACTAGCTAAGCAAGAGGAACAATAAGGGAGACACTATTCCTGCCCATGTGAAACTTAAAGAGTGATGAAAAAAGCAGGTAAATACTCCATAGCTACTCATACTATTAAATTTTTAATTATAGTTGTGATGAACCCACCAAAAAAAGTACACCCTTATTAGTGTGGACAGGGAAGTCTCCAAGGAAATGAAATGTTGGCTGAGATCAGTAACATCTGCCACATACTAAGTGCAGGGGATTAGCTCTTGTTGTACGAAGCTACCGTTGATGGAGAAAAATAAGTACAGAAGCTAGAGAAAGCCAGAGTAGGGCAAGGTAAGCTCAAAGAGGTGGTGGAAACTAGCTTGTAGGCCTTTCTAGCCACTTATAGCATTTGAGTGCAAACTTATTGAAGGATTTTAAAGTCTTTAATGTGATTAAAACATAATCAGTGTGTAGCTTTGAGTGATGATGACATAGCAAGACCCTGTCTCAAAAAAAAAATAGAATAAAAGGATGATGACAGCTGCAATATCAAGAATGAAGCAGAATAGTTAGAAGACCTATGTGTTCCAGGTAAAAATGAAGGCAGTTGAGGATATTTGAAAAGAAAACTAACCAAAGTCAAATATTTCTGTACTATGTCAGGGGCTCAGTTGTCTTTTAGGGACAACCAGTGAGTCTGTGCTGATATCTACGATCTCAAAGCAAAACCTCTCAAGAAACCTGCTATGCATATATGACCATTATTACTTATTCAAGCAGTAGTCTCAGATGAGTTAGATCAGGAAACTTTCAAATGTATAAATGATGGCACAGTCATTTTAGTGACACTTCATGAGAAAATGTTAAGTCATGTAAAAAACAGTTTAATAGCTATAAAGGTTTTGGTTTTGAACAAAGCCCATATAATAAGCTATCTTTCTAGATACACTGATCTCAATAAGAGTAGTAGGTATTGTGTTTTTGATAAAGGATTATAGTTCAGTATTTGTATAAACACCATTTTTTTTGCCAGACATTAAATCTCAGTTGGGGAGCAGAAGCCACGCACTTGAGAAAATATGTTTAATGATTCAGACTGTTGAAAGTTTGATAGGCATATATTCAAATCATGTTAAATATATAATAAAAGTTATTTATTTAGGGTGAGTACTATATAAAAAATAAGAATCTGGTGAAGGAAAACAGGGAAGGGGGAGAAAACAAGAAGCACAAGACTGATTGTACAGAGCTGTACTAGCTAACACACAGGTGGTAGTCAGATGAGCTGCCAAGCATTTAAAATGTGGCGAGTCTTAACTGAGATGTGCTGAAAGTATAATACATACACACACCAGATTCCAAAGATTGAGAATGAAAAAGAACGGAAAGTATCTGATTAATGATGATATTGATTCCACATTAAAATAAAATTTTGATACATTGATTTAAAGAAAACATTAAAATTTATTTCATTCATTTCTTTAGAATCTTTAAAAATGTGGCTACTAGGAAATTTAAATTATATATATAGTTCACATTATATTTCTACTAGACAGTGCTGGCATAGAGAAACAACTAAGGTAATTTCTAAAATATTTGGTTATTTGTTGAAAATCTTGAATAATTCTGAACTTGTAACATTTTCAAATTTATGGAGAAGTGAGAGAATACTGAATACAGAGTGTGTGTGAAAGCTATCAGATTGTGCCAAAGCAGTCAGCAGATTTAAGAATAATTTGGATGTTAAATAGGAAAAAAAAAACTGCTGTTAAGTTGGAATTTTTCATTGGATTATTGTGCTATGGAATCTATGAATAATAATGTGCCTCTTTTAATTTAGTTCAAACATAGAGCACTATTGATTCATTTCCTATAAGGTTCCTCTTTTGTTAGATGTACAAGATATTGACAAGAAATTTTTTTGAAACACTTAAGAACAGAGAGATCCAGGAGAATTTATAGCCAACCTGGTAGCAGACCAAAGGAAAACACTTAACTCAATAGGTAATTAATAGATACTCAATAGGTAATTAATAATCCTCCTTGATTAATAATAATAGCATTATTATTATTCCTCAGTCACTAAGCTATATACTCTGGACTTCCAGATTCATTCATTCATTCACATACTAACTCAGCCAAAAGCTTTGATGGAGACAATACCTGAGGAATTCAAATCAGGATATTCTGACAATACTACTTATTTTTCAGGATGCTGGCAAGACCTGAAGAAGATTTAACAGCAATTTCACAAAGTAGAATATGACCTCAGAATAGATGTGAGAGCATGTATCAAAGTAGACAATGTTACCTCTTTGCACATTCCAGTCACAATTCTGGATCAGACTGTATCTAAAACTAGATCCAACTTGAACACCTGGCCAAATGTTTTGTGTTTTTTAAAAAAAGAATCTGCATATGAATATACCTCCTACAGGAATTCAAATACAAAATGACCTATTGAGAATACCATGCATAAGTGATGAACATTAAGCAAGCAGTGAGGCAGGTAAACCTGCTTGGAGGAGTAGATGGTATAATATTCCTGTTCAATGGAATAGTCCTTCCCCTTTGTTCTCACAAAGCTTTGACCTTTGCCATACACGTAGTCCTTTTTCTGCCACTCTTGGACATGGATGTCATCAAGGATAGCCATCAGCACTTTTGATAATAACTTCTCTTTGAATGTAAGTGATTTTTTTTTCCTTTGACCATTTGGACTGGGATGAGTGTGTGTTCAACTAGCTTGTTATGGCCTCTTCAAATACCTTGAATATCTTAGTTAATTATGATCTATTTAACTTTCTATTATTCCTTTTTCTGACTCTTTAACTATACTGTTTTTGAAGATGGACGTAGTTTGGTGTTGAAATGAAGATTCATTATCACCAACACTAAAAAAAGTGTTCTACTCTAATAGATAATCTCAAAAACAAAAGTATTTTTAATAGAAATAATAAACATTACCAACTTTGCTTTATAGGTAAATAAAATTTTAGCACATAATTTAAACTATTTTTCAACAAGCCAAAGTAAACTAATCATTTTACACACATACTGGTACATGTAAACTTATACACTTATGGTTTTAGGATGCAAAGTAGATTAAATTATCTAGGGAGCAAGGGAAATATGCCAGGTTCCTATTTATGCAAAATCTTACTCTAGGGTAGTGAAGGTAAACCTTTTTAGACCTTTCAATTATAACAAAAAGCTGGCTGTGGCACGTGTGCCATAGGTTCACCACCACTGCTCTAAATCAAAATTTGTCTCAAAGGTGTAAGCTTTCTAATTATTTCCTTTTGCCCTAAATTCTCCTTAATTTCTATCTCATTGTTTAATGACTTAAATTTTTTAACTTTGAATTATATTCAAAAGAAAATTATGCCTCCTTTGACATACAGTCATGCTTTAACAAAAAAAAATACTCTTTAGGAAGAAAAAAGGAATAAAACAAACAAAAAGATAAAGTATTATTATAGCAAATGTGTTTTGAATTAGAACATTGAAGGAAAATAATCATTTTCACAATCCAAGATCAGTCTTCAATTGTATATTTTCAGCCATCCTGACAGGTGAATGGGCAGTGGTCATTGCATATTTTGTTCAGGCTGTAATAAGATTCTTGGATCAAGATATTAAAAATACCATGAGAAAAGGAAAAAATGGAAACAAAGTCTTTGTAAATAGGGAAGGGGGGAGGTGGTGAAGGGAGGACAGGGAATAGGGAAAAAAATAAGAACCAAGATATATCATGTACAGGTACAAATACCCAATGATAAATGTAAATGTATTGTATACCTAAAATGAACCAATGAAAGAATTTAAGCAAAAAAAAAAAAAAAAAAGAAAAGAAAGAAAGGAAAAGAGGCAAAAGATGCTTGTAAAGGACTCATTGGCCAGACCCACTCCCCTCTTCTTCCTATATTCATTACAGCACAGAGCTCACAAATTTTGTCTCCATCATACCAAATAGAAATAATTGAGCTTCTAGATGGTAGAAGTTATCATTTTGTATTCCATAAGGACAAAGCAGTAGTTTTAATTTATTTCATTTTCATCAATGTGATTATGAATATTAAACAATATAATAATGATAGGTAATATTATATAATAGTTATTACATTTAATAGTTATACATAATATATAAATACTACTATGTGTAATAATATGCAATGTTGAATACTTATTAAAATAGAAAGCTGATATAAAAAGAGTGATGAAACATGATCAAAAAAGTTAGCTTTATTCATTTGGTCTGGCTTTGTTTCTTTGCGAAGAAAAGAATGCTGAGATTATTAAGATAACCCTCAAAGTTAAAGGAGGAGTATGAGAAGTCAGTGGTGTAGAAATTTTTTTTGAGGCTTGAGCTGGTCTGCAATCTGTAAAGACCTGAAAAGCTAACTATATTCATGCTATTTCCATATTAAGTCATGGCGAGAAATCAACATTAATACAGGAACAATAACATTGTGCTTCCTAGAATCTCTGAAGCGTCCATTAAAATTTGGTTTGGAAGGATTGTTTTAAAATCAGGGCTGTGCACGTACACCCCTACCATCATACTATCAATCAGAACAGAACATGGCTCTCATTAGGCAGGATGAAAATGGAGCTCTCTTTGTTCCATAACTTTTCCTTGTTCCAGCAAGAGTAGCACTTCCTTTTATTCCACTTTCATCAATTGGGATGAAATTTCTCACTTAACTGAAACAGATTCTAGAATTTGGACAAATATGGAGAATACCTTTGATTCTGAGTTTCTGAAAGGATTTGAAGCTGAGTCCAAACAAAAAGAACCAAAACTCCTGAATCACATGGAATAGCAACTTAATGTTCCCTAGCATTCATACTGTGACAAGAAAGAGCGTGAGAAATGCTTAGGCTCTGAAATGCTTAGGTTCTATAGGCATACAAAGTGCAGTTGAAAATTGGGGCACATGCTTCCATTGCATGAGATTGTATGCAGAGCTGAGAGTTAAGTGTCTTCATTATCTTTTTAGTCTTCCACTTCTGCTTTGTTTAAAGCAGTGGTTCAGTGGTTTCTGGGTTGGCAACCACAGCAGCTGCTGTCGAAGTTGACAGTAGGCCAAATCCCTTTGATATTGAGTCAGCTTCCCCTGCCACACCACTAATTCCAAACTCCTTCTGATCTCTAGTCAGGAATCTGATAGCCCCTACTTCTCAACAGAATTAGCTGCATACATCCCTGAACACTGTATTGTGGACACAAGTACTTTCACGTGTATTGCTTCATTTTTGATCCTTATTGTTATGCTCTGGAATTGGGAAGGGTGATACTATTATCTCTGATTATTGTCCATTAGGATGCTGAATATTATTCCCATTTGATGCACTGATTTGAGAATATTACTGAACCCTCCCACTGAGACTGAGATACTCAGTACAAACATGAATGATTCAGCCAAACTGGTTACCTGGAACTTGGCACTCATTACTTGTAGACCACTGTTTCCCAACCTTTAAATGCATCACAGCATTTGGTGTATCAGGGAGACGCCCTGGGCATGTCATAGTCCAAGTTTTCCTGTTTCTACAGGCTTCCTGTTTCTCATCTCTCTAGCTTCTAACTGTCATCACAGCCATATCTCACTCTCCAGCCTGATGTCAAAAGCAAAAGTTCAGAAATTCCTAATAAATCAGGAGTCCTCGGGAGCAGGTGAAGTTCACCCAGAACTAGGTAAGATGGAGATTTATCACAATGGGAGACACAGTAGGAGTGTCTGCCAGGTGCAAGGCTGTCTGTATACACATCATAGCCCTGTTATCTGTGGATTCTTTGACCTGGAATAGGTCTTAAATCTTTCTAAGCATTTGCTTTTTTCTTGATGCAATAAGGATATATTAGTACCAACTTCACGGAAGTTTTCTAGGTTTAAATAGTGCATATGGTGCCTTGAGGACTATACCTGGCAGAGAGGAACCACTTAATAGATGCTATTATTACTTTCAAAAACTTGAAATTATGTAACATTTACAGATAGAAAATCAACTTCAACAAGACAACAAATGAATGAAAAGTTATCTAACTTCAAAAGTAAACTGTTTTTTGCCAGGTGTTGTGGTGCACACCTATAATCCCAACACTTGGAAGGCTGAGGTAGGAGGATCACCGTGAGTTCAAGACCAGCCTGAACTACAAAGTGAGACCCTGTCTCAAAAAACCAAAAAAACCAAAACAATTAAATTGTTTTTCAAAGTCAGACATAATTTTGTTAACTAATGGCTCTCTGATATTAAGGGCTCCCTTGCTCATCCTTAGAATAAGAAAAATAGTGAAAGTATTTGTTATTTAGAAATAAAACTACTAAAAAGCTTACCAGTCAGAAATCTTGTTTGTTGTGAGGCCTACAACTGCAGCAACCCTCATACAATGAGCACACTACATCTCACAGTGTCAGCCTGCCTTCAAAGAGAAAAGCTCTTAAACCACAGCAAGGAAGTGACACTGCTCATTGAAATGTGCAAGATTTATTTGCCTTTGGGTGTTCACATGAGAAACAGTCACATCATTGTAAGCTTGTTTTCTTGGTTGAAGCTTCATCTGTTCATTGTTTCTGTTTGCTTTGTGAGATGCTGGGCTGGACTAACTAATTTGCCATGTTGTGAAAACTTGTCCTCTGAATCTACAGATACTCAGGCAACTCGCCAATGAACAAAGACTTAAAATAAGTAAAAACTGTGAGCAAAATAAAAATTTATAAGCTCCCATACTAAATTAAATTTGTTCTATTAGAACACCTGGGCTATGTCAAGACCATTTCTACATGCAAGAGCAGATTAACAGTGCTCCATGTGAGTTTATTGTATTGGTTCTCTTCTATACATTATCAGCTTCCTCAGAGTGTTGTTCAAGTTTTCATAAGGATATTATTTTCACTTCACTAATCAATATTGGCAGATAAAATTAATCTGTGAATATTAAATGTTTTTTGCCAGGTATACCTATGATGTGGCTGTTTTTAACAGTAGTTTATTTGATTTGTGGAACTTTAAGTGCTAGTGGATTCGTGGATTTGGAAAATAAAATAAATCCTGAAGTGTGGATGAATGCTGTAAGTCAAGAAAAATCCCGAAGAACACTAAATAAAGCAGGATTACTGGGTGGTAGGATTATAAAAGATGTTAATGTAAGAGAAAATATCTGATAAGACAAACAGCTAAATATATTTTTAACATCTTTATAAGAGTTAAGCTAAGTAGGCCTGCTTCTTTGTATGAATAATTAATATATTCTAGTACTGAAAAGCAGAATTGTATTGCTTTTATATACATCAATTCTTCTTTTAATTTGTACTTTAAGAATATTAATCCAACAGGGGTCTCAAAAGCTAAATGACTTAAAAATATAGCTTTGTCAGAAGAATAAGTCAAAGCTAAATATTCTCCCTCCTACCAGAAAAAGACAATAATAGATATTTTTAATATTCTATTATTTTAAATCAAGATTTTATGTAGTAAATTAATTTTATAGTCACCTAGCGCCATAGATGTCGTTCCCCAATAGGCTCACACCAGGTACTGTTCTAGTTCCTATTGCTATCCTTCAAAGAGTCTCTGCTAACTCTTGTATTTTCACTGGGCAGAGTGAAATCATCACATACAATGGCTATCCCAGTGAAGAGTATGAAGTCATCACTGAAGATGGTTACATACTTGCCATCAACCGAATTCCCTATGGGAGAAGACATACTGGGTGCTCAGGTACAAATGTGTGTCTCCTGAGAAGGGGGACAGAATGTTACTGAAGCTCAAGACAGTGACTGCTTTGTCAAAATTGGTTGAATTACTGGAGTGCTCTTTAAATGGCTAACTAGGAAGCTATTCTTTTCCCTCTAGCTCACAGATGACAGACAAGAATGTAAAAATACTGATCTTGTTGAGCAGGTAGACTTGTTTGTTCAGAGGTAAATGCTAAGATGGAACCCACATCTTGTTAGTTCATTACTGATTTCTCATATGTTCCAGGAAAATGGATTTCCTCACTGTTTAGGAAGAAATTTGTTGGGCTGAATGAAGTTAACTCTAGTGGGGTACCCCAAAGAGCCTCCTCTGTTCTTACTAAAATTAGTGGGCACCCTCTACAGCATGAAAAATCAGGTTAAATGAAAGTGACACTTCTGAAACTGCCCAGTCTCTGGAGTGGGAAGGAGTAAGCAAAATTTCTGCAGAGGCTCACAGGCAAATCATGTGTCTTCCTTTACCATGTTTCTTCTGCATCTTTTCTTCCACCATCCACATTCAGTGGCAGCTAAAATCACATTACTTAACATTCTTTCCCTCAAAGGGATTTTTTGTTTTGTTTTAGGGGTTTTTTTTTTTGGTACCGGGGACTGAACTCAGGACCTTTGCACTTGTGAGGCAGGCGGTGGAACCACTGAGCTAAATATCTGGCCCTCAGAGGGATTTGTAATTCAAGAAATTCAGAACAAAAAAATGAGAGTGAGATGTGGAGAGTTCTACCAGACAGAGTAGTGATTCCTAGTTAGATTTGAAGGTCCAATAAGCAACCAAAATTTTAATAGATGTTCTATTTTAAAATATATTTATATAAAATTTTTCATTATCCCAATTTCAAGTTTAACAGAGCATCCTCAGTCTTTTTGTCTGTTTTGTTTTTGTGTCTGGCGAAATTTGGCAATATCAGACTTGGGGGAAAGGAAGTATGAACTATAAAGGGAGAAAAATGCATACAGAAAGTGTTGCTTAAGAAGAGAGAATTTTGGAAAGTGCTGCAGTTAAAACTAGATATTAGCTGTACTGTTTTAAATACTTTAAATCTGTTAAAGCTCCTAGTAACCCTTATAGTCATCAGTTTACATACGAAAAAACAGAAGCACATGAGATTATGTAATAATCCCAGAGTCACACAAATAATAAGTGACAAAACTAGAATTTTAACTCAGGCAGCTTGGTTCTTAACCATTAAATTATGGTGCCTTTTCTGAATGTTTAACTCTGGTTCTTTTTATCTCATGAAATACTCTCTCCTTCATGAATGTGGGAATTGGCAGAAGTATGTTGAGTTGATTCTACTATTACTGTTTTCAAATGCTCTTCAATGAGCAGAGGCTGAGGATTTGGGTAGATTCATGGGAAGGAGCTTATGAATGCCCATTTCTACTACTTTTCCCTGCTCGTGAAAGAGATACAGGCCTTCAGTACACATAATAAATTTTGCAACATTGTAAGTCACATATGTATAGAGATGCTACTTGACTTAGGTTGGAGTTATGTCTTGAGAAACCCAACATAAATTGAAACTATCACAAGAAAAATGCCTTTAATACACCTAATCTACCTATCATCATAATTTAGCAACACAGAGTACTGTGGAGGATAGATTGCTCATCCTTGTGATCACCTAGCTGTCTGGGCACTGAAGCTCATTGCTGCTGCTGCCCAGCATCTCCAGATGCTATTGTATAGCACACCACTCACCTGGGAGAAGATAAAAATTCTAAATTTGAAGTATTATTTACAGTGAATATTTTGTACAGTGGTAAGGTTGAAAAATCGTAAGTTGTTAAGTCAGTGACCATCTGTAAATGAATACATACAGCAGAGCAGTTGTAAGCACATGCTTTGGCATGAGATGGAGAGGGATCGGAGTCTCTGCTCCATAACTTTTTAGCTAAGTCACCTTTGGGAAAGTTAAATTAATTTCCGTAAAGCTTGGTTTCCACATTTATAAAATGATCCTGAAAAATCAGCTATTTTTAGAGTTGTTGTAAGAACTTAATAGGGCTGGGGATTTAGTTCAGTGGTTCCAGTGCCTGCTTTGCAAGCACAAGGTCCCGAGTTTGATCCCCGGTACCAAAAAAAAAAAAAAAAGAACTTAATAATCTAATCTATGTAAATCAGTCAATATATTCCCTGGTACAAAGTATTTGCTCAAGATACTGAAGTTATGTGATTATAATGCTCTATATTAATGACAAGGAGAAAACTATCTTGCTTTTTACCACACATGTGTGGTAAATGTTTAAAACATGTCTGACATACTTTAATTATTGCACATTTCTCTTGCTTCTCTCCCCATACTCCTCCTAGGCCCTCGGCCAGTTGTATATCTGCAGCATGCCCTGTTTGCAGATAATGCATACTGGCTTGAGAATTATGCCAATGGAAGCCTTGGGTTCCTCTTAGCAGATTCAGGTTACGATGTATGGATGGGAAACAGTCGAGGGAACACTTGGTCAAGAAGACATAGAACACTCTCTGCAAATGAAGACAAATTCTGGGCTTTTAGGTAAAACTCTAAGAAAAATCAAAAGTGGAGATAATTTCTTTAAAATATAACAGTGTAGATAATATTGATACAGTAATAGTCTATAATATATGGAGTCATAAAACTCCTTGTAGTTTCTACTAACATCTCCATAGAGAGAAACACCAAGAAACTTTGATTTTCACTGATTCTCCCACAGGCATATTATAACATTCTAGTAAGATCATTTGAACATTCAATTCTGTCCAATGCTGTACATTATAAGTATGTCCAAGGGACAGCTCAGGAAATTCCCATTACCAAGGGATGAATTCATTCAACCAATGTTTAAACTGTCCTGTGCCTTTAAGATTCAAATGGTGAATACAAAAAGTCCTTGACCTCTCAAAGTTTCTGCTCGTTCTAGTGGTATTCTTACAAGTCTTGTCTCCTAGAGAGCTAATTAATCTTGCAAAGATGATGTGCACTGTTATTTATTTACAGAAATTGAGACTCAGATTATACAGCATATAATGTTCAGGAAAACAATATGAGATTTTTAAAACATTGTTAATGGGAATGCAGTGTGTATTTCTATCATCTTAATGACATATGCAGCATACACCAGTGGTTTGAGAACAAAAAGGGGATGGAACAAATTGCCAGCATTAGAGCTCTGTAGCAGGGGCAAGAGTCAGGGAATATTTTGTGTCAGTGGCTCTTGGCTGGGAGCATGGAGTTTGCTTATCTTAAAGCATCACAACAATTCTCTTTTGCTTGTAACACTGATTTAGAGACTTCTTCATGCCCACTTTCATTAAATTAGTTAATATATATCTATGTGGACAGAAACACAAATAGCAACGTCTGACTAAGTATCTACTGGCAGTCAAGTTATTTCATTTACACTATTCAACTCCCATAACTGCCTGCAAGCCAGGCACTATCCTGTTCATTTCTCAGATGAGGAAACTTAAGCTCAGCACATTTAAGTAATTTATCAAAAAGTATTCAGCTAGTAAATGGTAGGATTGTAATTGACATCAGACCTGTTTCCAAAGATGGGTATAAAACAATCCTAAGAATTGTGAATTCCATGCAAGATCCAGAAACAGAAGCTTGCAAATTAGATAGGGAAAGGAGAGGGGAAAAAAAGCAAGAGACAGTAATAAAGAAAAGAAAGAAGAAGACTGAACCTCAGATGCCATACACATGCCTTGAATTAGTTCCTGTTATTAGAACATAAACTGTGTAAATGTGAGGTAAAAAATAATCTACATTTCATTGGGTAAACAATGAGATACACAGAATAAATAGGCAGCAGAGAATTCTGTGTATAAAAAGAAGTGAGCAGGTATATGCATTTGAATTTACAGTTGCAAGTATTTATAAGCCCCTGTTTTACTTTGCAGTTTTGATGAAATGGCCAAATATGATCTCACAGGAGTAATAGATTTCATTGTAAATAAAACTGGTCAGGAGAAGCTATATTTCATTGGACATTCACTTGGCACTACAATAGGTATGTCTACAAAAGTCAATGTCACTGGAGTCTTCCAAGGATTCACTTTTACATTGGAATGGAGTAGGTGCTATGTATGGTGCATCCTATCTTATGCTGGGAACAAATCTAGTACCTTAAGTGCCTGTGCACCTACAGCCCAGTGACTATGTGGGGTGAACCCGTTCTCCATTTCAGGTCTTAGATGCAGATTTGGAATGTGATATAATCTTCTAGAAATAGCATGTACCCCAAATCCAGTGAAGTAATGTTAAAAAGGAAGTGTCTAAATTCCCTCTGAGCTGAAAAAAAGAAAGCTTAATGTCATGACATATTCCCTCCAAATAGTAAATATGCACCAATTGTACTTTCCTCCCAACCTACAACCTAAATTGAATTTAATTAATAAGAAAGAGGACCTTTGGGGCTGGGGATTTAGCTCAGTGGCACTGCGCCTGCCTCGAAAGTACAAGGTCCTGAGTTTGATCCCCAGTACCAAAAGAAAAAAAAAAAAAGAAAGAGGCGCTTATACTCAATTCAAAAGAATGGACACATTAGTTTACAGGCAAAAAACAAAAACTATGATAAATCAACTAGATTCATGTATTCAGCATATAATTTAATATTTATGGGGTAATGATTAAATGTAAGGATTTATATAGAAATTTTAAAGCTTTTAAATTGTCCATCAGTAGAACAAAAGAAAGCTGGAGACTTTAGAGTAAAAAGAACTGGAAGCAGATTATCTTTGCAGAATAACTCCAAAAAACTTTTCAACCCATCCCCAAAATCTTTGCAACAGAAGAACAAAAAAACCCAACTAAGTAGAACCTCTCTTTTGTTGCCTAAGTATTTCTAGTTTTTACAAGATCGTCTTGTCTCCTATTCTTTCAGGGTTTGCAGCCTTTTCCACCATTCCTGAACTGGCACAAAGAATCAAAATGAATTTTGCCTTGGGTCCTGTGGCCTCTTTCAAATATCCCACGAGTATTTTTAGCAGTTTTTTTCTGCTTCCACAGTCCGCAATCAAGGTAGGGTCCTCCTTTTGCCAAAATGTACTTTAGCATCTCATTTTGGATCATAGATCCTTTTATTTTTAAATCTATTATGAAGTAAAAGTAGGAAATTTAGATTTAACCTAGAGAAATTTGACTTTCTAAGCACATCCTTGCATGTGTGTATGCCTTCATGTGTGTGCATGTCTGTGCCATGGTATCTACAGGTCTCATATAAAACTCACTACATTCAGTCATTTACAGAGCTGAGCACATGTTAAAATTTCAAGGTTGAACTGACTGCTGTATCCATATAAGGTGTCCTCATGAGGGTTTTTTTTCCCATTTAGTTGGGTAGGTCAATGAATTCACGATGTCTAATTGGAAGGCACTCTTCAAGTTATGTGTGACAAAGATGTCCTTGGTTTTCATGTTAAATAAGCCTGACTAAAAATAACGTTCCCATTTGGAAACTTGCTTTAACTTATTAGAGCTACATTCCAAAACCTCAAATGTCCTACATCCCAAGTGTTCATTCAGATATTTATTGATATTTTTCAAAGGTAGAAAAAGTCATTTGGTTGACAATATGGACTTGGGATTTTATCTCCTAAAATTTTTTCCCTGTTTGTTTCTGTTTCTCTATGATGGACATGGTCAAGAAGAGCATAGTATTTTACCAACATTGCCATTTGAATTTGAGGCAATGGGAAAAAGTGGATTTGGGCTAAAATGAAGTCAAGGCTACCAGTTAGAGTGTCATAGTAATTCATATATAAGAAGACAAGGCCCTGGTTTGGGGGTGGAGTAGTAGGAATAGAAAAAATATTAAGGAGCTAATGCAAGGAAGAATTTCTATAAGGCTTAATGATTGGTTTGATAATGATTTTGTGGCATTGTTTGCTGTAAGCACAAGTGACATAACTTCCTTTTTGTGTGGCTGACAGTTCTAGTACAAAATGTGTTGGCATCAGTTAATTTTGAATGTTATCTACATCTTGGCAGGATTGAGTCAACGAATTTGTCAAATTTAATTTATAGGTAACCACATCTATCTGTCAGTGCACCAGTTTTGTACATGTGTTTTTTTTCTAACATAGATCACATAAGAGCCAGGTAATGCTCCTGCTTATCTCAATTCATATTCTCTACCATGAAAATTCCTTCCACTTTAAGTCCCATTCCCTGGCTCCCCACTGCTATTGGTTGTTCCCAGAAGCTCCCATGGAAAGTCTACCTACTCTTATTTTCCTAAGACCTAGAGGTTTAAACCATCCCATCTTTGTGATGCCATCACGTCTTTGATGTCCATTGGCATCCTCTCTGTGGTATCTCATTCTCCACTTTTCATAGTGAGAATTGGTTAATCTGTGGTAGTACTAGAAAGCCAGTGGGTACATAAGCAATACATAAAACTCTGCTTTTCCTTCATAGTCTAGGTAATATGTTACTTTAAGAAGAAAAATTATTTCATCTTGCTTATCAATAAATGAGAAGTAGTGGCAATCATTAATTGGACAAAATACAAGGGCTCTTCACCATGGAGAATTGAATTTGGGATTGAAGATACCTTACTGCATTCTCCTTATAAATAATATTTGATAAATAGCCTCACTTGAAAATGGATTTCTAAGACACTTGTTGGAGTGACTTGGTCTCCTTGACTGAAACCATAAATGAAATGCAAATAGATCCCCAAGGGTGACTCATTCCTAGAATAATAATCTGAAGATGAATCTAGAAAAAGTAATTACTTTTTACCTTCACAGGCTATGTTTGGTACCAAAGGTTTCCTTTTAGAAGATAAAAGTTTAAAGATATTTGTTACCAAACTCTGTAACAACAAAATACTCTGGCTGACATGTAGTGAATTTCTGTCCTTATGGGCTGGATTCAACAAGAAAAATATGAACATGGTATGTATGATAATTATGTAGCCATTTAATGTGTGAAGAAATTACAACTTTCCTTTAGTTCATTTTGATCTATCCATTATGCTATATAAGTTTATATTGTACTTTAAACCTTTAATGGCAGATATTTGCTATGCAGAGAGAATTATGTATTCCACAGATCACAGAATCTAGGACCAGGAGAGGTAGTTGAACCATTCCCTCCTTGGTCAAAATTAGTAACATGGATGTTCCATAATTGGTAGTAGGTCTTCACATGTTCACAATATATTACATTAAAAAATAGAACCCTAGAGAGAAGCATATACCATACAAGCATTCTACTTCTTTTTCATCTGCTTTCTTTTACAAGTGATTTTGGCTTCAAATAAAATTCTTCATTTAACCTGGAAAATTTAGACAGAATGGACAAGTGATGGATACTCCTCCTATGATGAATTAGCAGTCCTACTTCATGAACTCTTTGTTTCCTGTTATTGAGAATTCAGGAAGGAGGAGGGAGAAGAGAAGGAGTCAGTGGAGAATGAGGCAGAATTTACATTCTCACACAATTGCGGTTGAACAGTTATTGCTGCTATATTCTAACTGGCAGCCAATGAGACTGTTACGCTGAATGCAGTCCCAAGATAGCTGTTCTCTGCCATTCCTTCCTACCATTAGGCGTCAAGAGGCTAAATTACGTTAGATTGAAACCCATGAGGAACTATTTTTCAAAGGCTGTTTGTTCAAAAGAATTTTAATAGTTTCCCTTGATTAGGTTCATTATATTCTAAGACATGTAATTATGATTACTATTTGATTTCTAATTTTCAACTCTATGGTGTTTACAAAGATCAAAATAATCTTTGGAAGGAATTGGGTTTCAGCTTTACTAATGCCATATTTTATTTTATCTCACAAGAGCCCAGCAAGTTGTTAGTACAATTTTTAATATATTCATCTAACAGATGGAAAAGTAGAAACTGAGAGATGTTAAGTAACTTAACCAAAGTCATAAAGCTGGTAATTGACAACATGAGGGCCTGAAATCCAGGTTTTCTGATCTATTGATCTGTGTATACACCACCATAACTACCATCACCACGACCCTGAAATTGAACTAATCACTTTTTTAGTTATTTTGCTCCATGATATCTATCACTGATTCCTCTGCTTCAAAATAAGCAAACTGCCCTGGAAATTCCAAGCAGGTGCAGATTTGCTACCAAGCAGCACATCTCACTAGTCAGCCCATGGTACACACACATTCAAGTGACATAAATACATATTTACCTAGATGATTCTGCTTTGTCATTTTCAAAACATTTTCAATCATCATAATTGTTGTCTGCTCTGAAAGGCATAGTTTATTTCATTGAGTGATTGTTGCTGTAACATAAGTTTAATGTCCCTTAGAGTCGAATGGATGTATATATGTCCCATGCTCCCACTGGATCATCAATACAGAACATCCTGCATATAAAACAGGTAGAGTCTTTGTTATGGGAAATCACTCCAATCCTTATATATGAAAGGACAGTGTTGAATAATAGGCATACCCCGAGAAACTTAACTGCTTGCTTCTAGTTTGTGCTTGTTGCCATTTTCATGCCTTCATTTTCCTAGCTTTTAGGAAAAAGTGTTCTATGGTGCAGAAAAAGAAGGTGATATAAATAGACCCCATTTGAAATCAGAACCTATAAAATAGATCCTGAGCTAAAGCAAGAAGTAAATTGGGGGAGCTCTAGTAAATATGAGTCTTCCCTAGAGAAAGACATATCTGGGCTTTGACTTCCCTCTAATGAGTCTTGGTTTTCCATTAGCTTTTCCTTCAAACCAAGGCAGGCATTGTGTCTCTTTCTTTGGGATCCCATTTTTTTCATAATAGCGGAAAGGTACTTACATTCTTCTGGTGATCCAGAGGGCTAATTTTATTCCTAAGTGTAATGTTTTTCAATGATTTACTGTTATCTCTTATGATTCTTTTTCTAAAACACATTTCTTTTAGCTTTACCAAGCTGATGAATTCAGAGCATATGACTGGGGAAATGAAGCTGAGAACATGCAGCACTACAATCAGGTGAGATACTCAGAATGACCCCAGAACAGGACTCTTGAGAAGTCTTTTTTAATTAATTTTCAATAGTCTATGTGTTCAGTCCATAATGATTACACTTATTGTGGGGAATTGGCACATGCACACAGCACATAAGTTCTTTTCATTTCCCCTCCCCCCACCCCTCTCCATCTCTAGATCCCCTTCCCATTTGAAAAAAGAAATTTAATGAGAAATTGTTTTTGACTGACAAGACTTCTACCTGCCAATTGGCATTTGCACCCATACAGCTTTCTTTTTAAAAGAAATCAAATTTTAATTTGTATTCATTGCAGTATTTTCAGACAAAAAAGGAACACATACAAAGGAAATTAATCATTTGTAATCCCTGCACCCAAAGATAACTAGATGTGTTAATGTTTTTATGTATTTATTCCAATTTTCCCAGCATCATGTTTTCTTTGTGACTTTTAATCATTAAAGTTATTAACATTTAAGAGTTGAGTTGTAAGCCATCTTTTCTCATTTAACTTCACTCATCAAATATTGCAGATTCATTTAGCACTATATATATATATATATATATATATATTTTTTTTTTTTTTGGTACCCGGGATAGAAATTCAGGATCTTGTGCTTGCGAGGCAGGCAACAGACCCACTGAGCTAAATTCCCGGGCGCTAGCACTATATTTTTAAGCATTCCTCTGGCCCTTTTCTGTTCTTTTAGTTAATTTATTTGAATTTCATGTCGCTATGAGAAGCTTCCTCTCATGAATGATTTTTCTCTGTCTCTCACACACAGAGTCAGCCTCCAATATATGACCTGACTGCTATGAAGGTGCCCACTGCTATTTGGGCTGGTGGAAAAGATGTCCTTGTAACACCCCAGGATGTGGCCAGGATACTCCCTCAAATTGGAAATCTCTGTTACTTTCAAATGTTGCCAGACTGGAACCATGTTGATTTTGTCTGGGGCCTCGATGCCCCTCAACGTGTGTACAATAAGATCATAGCTTTGATGAAGGACCATCTCTAAATGTAGAATGTCTACTTTTCAGTTAAAATTTTCTTTCAAGCCCACAAGAGGGAAAATACTAATGAACAATGAGATCTACCCCAGCACCCTTCTTGCTATTGCTGAGACATTTCCTTATCTTAGCATCTCAACTAGAGATTGTTTCAATACTGTTTCTCTTCTAGGAAATGTCTGCATCTGAAATCTGGGGATCTTACCCCCTCAGTTAGGGCTAGGACCTATTTTAATCCAAGGTCTAGTAATCACTTCCCTGATAAATGTATAATTGAGAGAGCAGTTAAAAGGGGATTTTTTCTCTCTCTGATATATATATACATATATATATATATGATATATATACATATATATATCATATATAGATGGATGTATAGACACATATACATTAGATATATATATGATATATATTAGATATATATATATTTAAGTAATACCCACTTCCTCCCTATCCACTTTTGCAAAAAATTGTTAGCATAGGAATATTGGCCTAGAGAGAAAATCTTTGCCCAGGAAGCCATTTAGGAGTATGTTTTGTATGGCTGTGACCTTGTGGCATACCTGGAATCAAAATTAAGCCAGTAGTCACTATAAAAGTCATCTATAAACAAGCCATGAAATAAACCTTGACCCACATCAGCTAGCCTGAGAGAAAACAGTGGAACGGAAAAATAATAAAATTTAAGTTTTCCAGGAGATTGTTATACTTTTATGGGTAAGATAAATTATTAATTACTAAAATTATTCACTTATTTATTCTAGCCTGCTGACTTTAAAACAAGGTTAAATTAATGAGGCTGTTGGATAATAGTGTATTAGTGATTACCAGCAGAAAATAAGTCATAGCACATGAGGAATAATTTTCTTTTTTTTTTTTTTTGCTCTAAAGGGAAATTAGACTGATCAGCTGTCATGTCTTCATTATCAAATTAGAATTTATACTATTGTACTTGCACTCAAGTTACATTTAAAGCAGCTTCCAGAAGGTCTAATTTAGAACAATCAAAGGAAGTGCAAGGGATGGGTGTACTTCATTCTTTAAAAGATGATAGACATGGATTCTTCAGTACAGAATTCAAAAGTTGTATGAAATTCCACTGTGAGTTCCTGTATTCCTGAATGGTGTGAGCTTGGAAGACTCCTTTACCTTCTATGAAGATGCAATTAATGAAAAACCATTCATGATCCTCAGGGAATCATAAAAATAATACACATATGTACCTTTGGTAGTTTAACTTAAACAAGTAAATGTAAATTAGCATACAAATATTTGCATGCAGTACTAAGGTCTTCTGATGTTGAATAACACATATTCATTCCTGAATAGATAACCCATAATTCATCACTCTTAATTTTTAGTTTCAGTGTCTTTCAACTGAAGTGGGAACTAAAAATACTCCAGAATCAATTTAAACACAAGTCCTCTTACATTTTTGTAATTTTTATTTGTTAAGAAACTATCTAACTTGATCGCTATTTTTTATGACTTCATTGAGTTTTTCAGAGAGTATAAACTGGGCATTTACACACCTGTAATCCCAGCACTCTGGGAGGCTGAGCTAAGAAGGAGGATAGCACAGCCTGTATAATTTAGTCCCTGTTTCAAAAAAAATTTAAAGCAATTAATTAAAAATTTTAAAATAAACAATATAAAGTATTTTTCATCAAATCATTCAAAATTAATGTAATAATTTAACTGGTACAATAAAATTGTCATAAATAGTTTTGAGAAACTAAGCATATGACTCAAGTGAAAGAACTATGAAGGAATGGTTATACTAGATTAGCCTGCTATTGTTTTGGAACATTTAATAGACACGGAACATTAGTTAATATATTTTACAGAAATATAGGTGAACATTAGTTGGTATAGGAATCTGGTTAAGTTGAAGTTAGTTAAGAGAGGTCTTATTACAGCAATGCTGTGTAACAAACCATGGAGCACCCAGTGGTTCACATACTTCAGAGTGAGATCACCTGGGCTTGGTCAAGGCTGTGGGTTAGGTCCAGGTCTGTTTCACAGTTCTTTTCTTTCTGAAACCAGCAGCAATCAGGATTATGTCTTTCATATGACAGATTCCAAGAGCTGAGAGGTCCAGGTAAATCATACCAGGATATATAAACCTCTGCATGTTTACATTCTTTTGACTAATAGAGGTGATAGGACCAAATGGGGAGAGGGTTAAATACTAAATAGAGTAACAACTTATTTATTTTTTACATAATTTATCTCACTGTTTACAAAGACTTGTAGATATCCACATGCCAAGATGGCTCTAAACATAAATAAAAGACTACAGCTGCTTAGTAAATAAATCAGAACAGAACAACAAAGGCTTTGGGGCAAATTTGTAAGTCTGAGGTAGGCTAATTTCTTCCTGCTGTGCTCTTCAAAAGATATGATCTGTGAATACTCCAAAACCAGCTCCATAATTCCTATTCCACCTAACAAACCTACAAGACAAGCTGCTGCCTCCTAGAGCCATTCTTCACTCAAAACTCGCATTCATCCATTTAATACTATGAATTGAGGGAGAACCAGGATTACTATGAAAACCATGTGGTAATATGGAAAAATACCCACAATGCAGTATAACGTTGTGTGATGAGAAGAAAATAAAAAGCTTTCTGGCCCCTGGTGGGCCCCAGGCCGGCTGGGTTCAAGGTGCGCTTCCTCCCGGAGGGACGCTGGTACAGGAGCTGAGGCCAAGGCACAGAGTGGAGAGCGCTGATCCCCAGCCACGAAGGGAATGGTGAACCCACTGCGGGATGGTGAGGAACACTGCCTATGCCTCCGAGAGAGCTTCGAGAAGGGGCCGTGGGCCTCTTTCCACACCATTCACTATGATTTCAAGCCAGCATCTACAGCCACTTCCTGTGAAGGAGAGCTTCAGGTTGGCAAAGAAGATGAAGTCTCAATACACTGCCACATATTCCCGGATCCATGCCACCAATAACTGTTCAAGGGGAACAAACGGCCTGATCAGACTGTGTGCTTATTAATAGTCATGACACTCGCGAATATGTACTGGAGAAACTCAATAGCAGCATTCAGGTCAAGAAGACAAGAGCTGAGGGGAGCAGTAAAATCCAGGCCCCAATGGAACAGCAGGCCACTCGGCCCCCACAGCCGTCACAGCCACCTCCACCTCCACCTCCCATGCCATTCAGACCTCCAATGAAGCCTCCAGTTGAACCCAAAACTTCTCCCTTGAAGGACATCCCTTTGCCTGAATCTCAGCTGGATGACATCAAAAGAGAGCTGAAGGCTGAAGTTGACATTATGGAGCAGATGGGCAGCAGCAGTGGGAACAGCTCCTCAGACTCGGAGAGCTCCTCCGGAAGTGATGATGACAGCTCCAGCAGTGGAGGTGAGGACAATTGCCTGGCCTCTCCCCACAGCTGTCACACCAGCAGCCCTACACCAGCAGGCCTGCCATTGCCAATGGAACCAGCTGTCCATAAGGAAGAAACCAGCTTAGGAACATCCTCAGAAATGACCTGTAGTTGAGTGAGTCTGGCAGTAACAGCAATGATTAGCACCCAATCTTTTGAAATCTACTTCCTGGTGCATAACCATGATTCAACAAGACCAGGCTACTTTTGCATGGAGTCCATTACCACAAGGAAAATGTTGTGGATCAGTGCCTATAAGGAGTTTGAGGCTTTGGAACTCTCTGATATTCAAGTCTTTAACTTAGTGGTGATAGGTGATTTTTCTCATGTAATTTTTGAATAATCTCCTATTGCAAAGTATAAGTAGATCTATAGAAAAACTAACATAATTATATTTCTATTTGGTTAACATTTTTAATGAAAAACAGACAATTATGCCTTGGGCTAGATTACTCGAAGGCCATGTCTTCACCAGGTCAGTGATTCAGTTTTAAATTTCAGCAGCCATTAGTTTAGCCAGTAGACCTCAAATGGTGTGCATCAGTGAGATAAAACAATCTTTGAGGGATAAAAAAGAAGGGGGAGACCTCAAATTGTATCATAGAAATATGTTAGAATCACTTTAAATTGTTAATATAAAATGGTAAGGTAGTTTGTCTGACGCAGACTGACAAACCTGGGTAGAAATGAACTTCAGTGGAGTCTTTGAGTGTCAGCTGAGTAGGACTCCGAAGATACTCTAGCTCAATGTCCTCATTTACAGGAAAGGGAAGCATGTGGCTGGTTTATGACCAGTCTTCTATTCCCAGTCCATGTTCCCTCTGCTGAATTTCACTTAATGGAATCAGAGAATTTTATACATGAAACTTATAGTGTACATTAGCATTATTATTGGATTCAAAAAGACAAAAGCACTAAGTACTTCCAGCTAGAATTCAGATCCCAACAGTCCCTAAATGCTTTAGGCTGAGTGAGTGAGCAGATTAAGCTAGCAGCCACTATGTAGATGCACCTGACTCAATTAAATTGAGGCTTTTAGTTCCATGTGGATCCATCCTAGGTGTTCTTCATTTAGTGGGTTTTAGCAGGATGGGAATAGGGTAGGAGTAGAAAAGAAACCTCTGTGAACAAATGAGACAGCAGAAAATTTCCGAAAACCAAAATCTAGATAGGAGTTCTGCAATATGAAATGAGCACATTCTTTGATAACATCTTTCTGCTTATGATTTTGTACCACTGTCCCTGACTCCTAGACTAGTTTGTATTTCTATATAAAACTAGAAGAAAATCACAAGATTGCCTTCTACAGTGTGCAGTTTCCAAATGAATCTGATGTTGTTGGAAACTGATCACTAGTAAATGTTCCATATTGAGTGAATGTGTGGTGAATTGTCCCATTATTAGTATGGAACAGTTATTTCTATAGTTTGAATGAATGTGTCCTAAAAAATTCCTATTTTGGTTCTGTGGGTGTCAAGACATTAATAATGATTTTCCTTTCTCTGGTTCCTCCACTCAGATGGCCTCTCCCTAGCTAGTGGGGGAAAACAGTCTGGACCTACAAAGGAAATGGATGGCCCATGATGGGGGGCTTTGGTGAAAGTTGGGTCATCCACATAGTGACTCCTGTGAGCCAAAATGGGAGGAGGAGCCGTTGCCTTGCAGCATGCCTGCAGCACTCTACACTCAGTGTAGGTGGTAGGCATGTGCTAGTACTTGTGATGGGGTCTTTGCCCATCATGAGGGCTCAATGGATTCAGTGGCAAGTAGGAACTTATTTATAATGAACTGATTGATAGTTGCTTTATAATTCTGTGGCAATGATAGCTCAGGGAAGGTAAAGGTCACGATTGGAGACTTGAATTGTTGCTGGATGTGGCAATTATTTCACTGGTCTTAACTTGCTCAAATTGGAGCAGGTTCCAAGAACTTGAACTAAAACACCTATTTACCCACA